CGCTAAAACAGGACTTTGAAATTATTACACAGAATATTAAATGTAAAAGTGGCCTACTATTGGAATAATGAGAGTGTAAGAATTAAAACTTCAACAATTATTATTACGTAGTGCTTCAGAATCCTTTTCGCACTATTATGGTTTTTGTTTTGTTTAATGCATAATAAATTATAAAAAAACTATAATTGCTATTAGTACCTATTCAATATTAACTATTCAATGTATAAATAGTTGGAATAGTTCAATAAATTGTTTAAAAACTAAACTTTCAACATTCTTAACATATAAGTACTTTTTTCACACATTAAGTCGATGACTTGATCCGGTGTATTGTCTGCAAACAATTTTCTTTCACAGTTCATCAAAAATAATGATTCCAAATTCTCCTGTGTTAAACAACTTCTTAAACGTGTTTTTATAATTTTAAGTTTTGAAAACACAGCTTCAATTATAGAGTGGTGCCTTCAGTTCTGTCACTAATATACCGCAAAACAAATACACATTGATCATGTGTAGATATATTTATAGTTGTATCCGTATATTCCAGCTGAATTTACTTCTTCAAATATTTTTAATAATAATAACAATTTACAAATTTTTTTTTTTGGTAATTCACCTCCTCAAGGCCGTGAAGGCCACTACAGACTAGGAGGCTACTTAATTGTAGTTATAACCCTCTCTCAACTTTATATCTCCGAGACACGAACCTTGACAAACAAGACCGCTGCGCCGAGAAACAAGTTGAGCGCGGAACTACCAGGGACGTGGTGGGGATTAAACTTAGAACCTCTCGTTTATGAAGCAAGCGCTCTACCACTACACCACTACCGCATTGGTAGTGGTGTAATGGTAAATAAATAGTTTGAATAATGTTTGTTACAGTTGTAGGACTTAAAAAAGTAAATAAATTTCCTCTACCCTTTTTCCCACTTGAACTCGACAACAAGCATCTTATATTATTAATTACTACGATCAATGTTGAATAATTATTTACGTTATTTTTCTGTAAATTATTCTATACATTATCTCCTGTGTATTGAACTATTCTTAATAACATACTATCTATATTTTATAATTTATACTACGCAACCAAGATAACTTAAATGAAAATAATCATCTTGATATTGTTGTGTATTTATTTATTTTTATAGACTTCAAATCAAAATGTAGATTTAGTTTATTATTTAGATTCATGTTAATTGTATAACTTTTTCTTAAATAATGTCAAAATTAAGAAATACACAATTATATACCGACAATATATATAACAATAAAATAATCACCAGATATACATAAATATAACAAGGTATCGATTTTCTCACTTAGCTTTATATTTTAATCAAAAACTCATTTATAAGTATTAAATAAAACAATACAAAATCTAATTTCCATCATCTCAAAACAAAATTATTTCTATTCAAGTTTTTACATGTACGCATTCAAGTGTGAGGACTGTTATTATTGTTATTTGTAATTACCTAACTTTGATAAATATTAAAAGTATGTGGTTGTGCCTCCTGTGCATTTATGCGGTTCTGCCCCAGAGGACAGTTTTAAAAAGAATGCAGTTTCAAAGCTTGCTTATTAGGTTATGTTGATATCAAAAATGGTTTTTACTTGATGAAATAACGCTGATAACACATATCTTTAACACTAAAATCAAATATTGCTTATTCCTCAAAAGGTAGGTCTGGAAAAATATGATGTATATATGATATTTTTATCAAAATAAACATTATTGTGTAAAACTTCTCAGAAACGAAACAGGCGTTCTTGTTGACATATGCGAAATGAAACTGTTACTTACACGTGGTATTATTTTGCCATATTAGATAACATTTTTTAAATGGAAATGTTAAAAAATGGTTGTGCCTTCGTTTTGATACTTTTTGATACTTCACAATTACAAGCCTTTGTGACTGTGAAGCATCAAAGTTTCTCCAAAAAAAAACTTGTAATACCTTGACAAGTTTTTTTACAAGAATACTTTTAAAAACTATTTTAGGACCCTTTTTTTTTTCTAGTTTATATGAACAATATATATTTCTGCTATGAGGGTTATTGTGGCATCAATCTGTTTGCAAGTTGTATCAAGCAATGATAAAAATAGCATCAACCTTGTCAATAATTAAAAGACAAACTTCAGAGTGGTCAAAAAATTGTCAACTTATATATATCAGCCAAAAGATTTTTTTTATCAACGCAGTGGAAAGAATTCTTTACCTGTCAATTCAATACAAGATATTGGTATAATTCTGTTTTTGATATGAAATTTTCTAACCACTGTTTTTTTATTGCAGGCTAAGCATATTCGCGATCTTACTCCTAAAGTCTTTTATCAGTAATAATTTTCAACCTTTAATAAGGTTATGTTCGATAAATTGTAGAGTTATGTGAACCTGTAAAAAATCTCTATTTCTCAAAAAACATTTGTTGGATAGAAAAAAAGTTTAGAAACATTACACAAGAGTGGTTTGCAAAAGAGGTCGCAATTCCTATA